GCTCGGGGGGACTCTGGGAGATACGGTTTGCAGGCAGCCTTGGGGAGCTGGAGGGAGAAGGAAATTTATTTCCCCCAGAGCCTCAGAAGAATGCAGCCCTGCCAGCACCCTGACTGCGACCTGCCGAGATGACAGATAGTCAGCCTGTGTTGTTAGAAGCCACTAATTTGGGGGCAGTTTGTTCTGGCAGCAAAAGAACATCAATGCATTACCCCCAAACTCATACACAGATTATACATTTAACCTCAGGGCAGTCCTTCAGATCACAATAAGCTTAGGCAAGCACACCGGCTCCTGACGTCTTTTTAATATAACCAGGCTAAAAACAAAATTTTGTCTCACAGTCTTGTTTTGGAAAAGCATCCGTTGTCTACCAACAGGAAAATCTAAAACAAGGTAGTTTTTTTTTTTAAAAAAAAACTCAAGGGTAGGCTATTGATTCCATGTGAGAAGATAATGTTATTGTCTAAAAGAATCAGGATTTAAAATGTGGAATACTGGGCAAAAATTAGAGATCTGCAGGTCTCATTGCTATGGTTATGAAAGCTGATTCTCCCTGAAAGTCTATAAAATGGAGTGAAGAAGGTACCTGCACAGGATGTGAACTCTGTTACCCTGACAAGGCCATAGGGATCCAGAGTGCTAGCGTAGGTCGTTGAAAACCATCATTGCCCGGCATGATCGGCCCACGGCATCCCAGCCTGCGATTCTGAGATGCAAGCGCTCTTGCTTGGCCCAGTTCCTTCTCTTCTGCTTGCTGCTTTTACCTTCATGTGAACATCCCCACCTCCCCTCATACTTGTCAGCAGTTCTTTCTTGGGGATCGTCAAAGAGGAGGAAACTTTTTATTAGGAACTTTCAGAATGTTCATCTTGTTTTGTGTTGGGAATTGAATGTGTCGAATCCCTTTCAAACTTATCTTGAAAGATAACTCTTTTCCCTCCTTATTAATAATAAGATTCAATTTATAAAATAGCTTCTTTAAGGAAAGTAATGTTGACATTACCGATTGATACGAAGCTCTGATGTACCCTGGCCACCTGGCATTTTGTGCTTGTCCATCAGAACCACGGTGGGCGGCTTTTGAAGATGCCAGTTTATTATTGTTGGAAATGATGTGCTGCTACAGTTGTTTTTGCCAGTCTCAACAAAATGCACCTGAATATAAGTTAGGAGGAAGATAAATGTTCCATGTTTCCTTAAAATGGGCTTCTCAGGGGCTGGCACTGTGGTACAGCAGATGTGAGCTGCCACTTGCAAGGCCAGCATCCCATATCACAGCACCTGCTCAAGGCCTGGCTACTCTGCTTCCTATCCAGCTTCCTGCTTATGCACTTGCAGTGGATGGTGACCCAAGTACTTTGGCCCCTGCCATCTGTGTATGAGACCCACCTGGGTTCCTGGATCCTGGCTTCAGCCTGGCTTAGCCCTAACTGTTGCAGCATTTTGGGGAGTGAACCAGCAAAAGAAAGATGCATTTCTTTCTCTCTCTGTCTCTGTCTCTCTCTCTCTCTCTCCCTCCCTAACAAAGAAGTAAATCTTTATTTTAAGAAAAAAAAAAAAAAACTGGCCTGTCACTTGAATCCCCTAAGGGTAGGGACCTCTTTGTATATATAAACATCTTCGTATCACAAATGTGTAGCCTGGTGACAAGAACATAACAGGTGCTGAGTAAATATGTATAGAATGAGAAGCCACTCTCTACCTTCATTCATTAAGTGTGTGCCACTTCAATCTATTCAATCCATTCAATCCATTTCTATCAAAAGAAAAATTATCATCTGTAAGAGTCTGTGACTGATAAACTCTAGTAGTATTTGTCTGAAACTTTCCTAAATGATAGTTTACGTGGCTATAGAATGTGAGGTTGACAGGTGTTTGCTCTACCTTCTGGTGGTGATGGTATGGAGAAACCCGATCTTTGTCATTTCTCTGTAGGGTACCTTGTCTTTTCTCCCCAGTAGTTTTTAAGGTACTCCCTGTGTTTATTTTCTTTTTCCCACTAGGAATTCCTCTTTTTCAATTTGAGGGTTCGTGCCTTCTTTCAGTTCTCTGCCACCATGTCTTGGATGCTGACCCTGCTAGCGTTTTGTAGATCTGCCAAAGTTCCTAAGATGCTACAAGTCCTCGGTTCTTTATCGCCGCACTACATTCTGAGGGACTTTATTGTTCTGTCATTACCAGCTACCTCTATAGGCCTGTTTAGTCTGTTGCTTAACCCATACTTTGAGTTTGTTTCTGTCTCTATTTTTTATTTCAAAACTGTAGCTCCTTTTTGTATCTGGTTCTTTCTCAGCTCTGCCTGTTTAAAGCCCACTTCTTGCTAATGGATTCTATTCCTTCTTTTGTTTCTGGACATACTAATAATTTAGTCTCTTTCTATAACCCCAAGAGTAGAGTTCTCATATTTGGGTATCTGCCCACCTTCACAGTGGCAGGTTTTATGTGGGTTTTTTTTTTTTTTTATAATTTTTGTCTTAACTACTCTTTTTTTTTTTCCCCTTTGGAATCACAAGCATTCTCTAGATTATGGAAGTCTTCCTATGGTGTGTTTTTGTATTCACCCCTCATTGAGATCAATGGTTTTCCCTGGTTTGGGGCCAATTTTTTAACATTGATTTTCAGTGTAGATTTTACACACCACCCAGGTGGTGCAAATCAGATCCCACAGATGTTACCAGCTGGGCATTCCACCTCCCTCCCCACCCCACCCCAGCAATTCTAGAGTAGGATGGTGGCCAGCTTCTAACCTGTGTCCCCAGATGGGGCCTTCCCAGCTTTGATTTACAAATTGGATGTCCTCATTCCAGTGGTGGTTGATGTCTTTGTTCTTACTCCCTCTCCCTCTGTACTTGGGGTCTTGTAGGTTGTAATTCAGTTGCCACACTGGGGCAACGCGCTCCAGCCCTGCCCACTGCCGTGTAGTCACGTCCTAGTTTTTGGCACCTAGGGATTTTACTCTCTTACTCTGGAGTTCAAGTATAATTTTGTTGATATCATTAGTAAATTGTGCCCAGTATTTCTGTTTGGTATGTGGTGAGGACTTTTTGCCTATGCACACTATACCTGTTCACAGGGAAATTTTTTGGTTGACCCACAGTGGTAACCATTTACATTAAGCAAGCAACCATGACCTAAAAGTAAGTGTGCTTCTTTGTGTAACTTAACTAGCTATAGTTAACATTTTAAAACTACTAAATATTCCAGTCCAGAAACACTTAAAAAGTAGACTCTATGAAAATGATTTCTTATTTATCATGTAAAAATTATTACTTTTACAAGCTTATTTACGTATGTAAAAATTAAATGACTGAAAGACTGCTTAAGAATTTTGAGAGAAATTCCTGAGTTTAAAAGCGTTAGATGGCCGGCGCCGCGGCTCACTAGGCTAATCTTCCGCCTGCGGCGCCGGCACACCGGGTTCTAGTCCCAGTTGGGGCGCCGGATTCTGTCCCAGTTGCCCCTTTTCCAGGCCAGCTCTCCGCTGTGGCCCGGGAGTGCAGTGGAGGATGGCCCAAGTGCTTGGGCCCTGCACCCCATGGGAGACCAGGAAAAGCACCTGGCTCCTGGCTCCTGCCATCGGATCAGCGCAGTGCACTGGCCGCAGCGCGCCGGTTGCGGCGGCCATTGGAGAGTGAACCAACGGCAAAGGAAGACCTTTCTCTCTGTCTCTCTCTCTCACTGTCCACTCTGCCTGTCAAAAAAAAAAAAAGTGTTAGATATCCCCGGGTGGACATTTGGTGCAGTGAGTGGTTAGGATGCCCCTTGGACGCCCACACCCGATCGGGGAGTACCAGGTTGGAGTGCCGGCTCCGCTCCCAGTCCCAGCTTTATGCCAGTGCACATCCTTGGAGACAGCAGGTGATGGCGCAAGTAGCTAGATCACTGCTTCCCATATGGGAGACCCGGACTGAGTTCTCATCTTCTGGCTTCAGCCTGGCCCAGTCCCAGCAGTTGTAGGAATTTGGGGAGTGGGCCAGTAGATGAGAGATCCCTGTCTGTCTATGTCTTTGTTTCTCTGCCTTTCAAATAAATAAAATAAATTATTTTTAATTATATATCCCATTTTGTACCATCATTTATATGATCATTAATTTCTATCTTTATCAGGGATAGCAGATGTTAGCTGGTATATCAGTATGCCCACTCACAGTCTTCACAATAGAAATACCATATTATTGCCAGTCATGTTATGTCTTTAAGAAACATATGAAAGTACTTTCTCCCTATATAAGTATCATCTTTTTTGTTTGCTTGCTTGCTTACGAGACAGAGTGGGCTCCCTGGGGTAGACCACAGTTAGGACCAGGAGCCTTCCCCAGTCCAGGTCACCTGTGTGACTGAAAGGACCCTGACTGCCTGAGCCATCACCCCTGCAAGCGTGCGCCTTAGCAGGAAGCTGGCACCATGAGTAGAGCCAGGACTTGAATCAGGTACTCCGAAATGGACTGCACATAACCACCAGCCCAAATGCCTGCCCCCAGGGGTCAGCCTTTTATAGATCTGGGTTGGCATCTTCTGACAATGCAGGATCTGGTTCATTTCACCATAGTGAGTATTGGTAGAAATTAAATAAATAAGACATTGTCCTTATTTGACCAAAAATGACTATTTTTCCAGACTTAGCTTTGTTGTTGTTGTTTTTAAAGATTTATTTTTATTTATTTGAAAGGCAGAGTTACAGAGAGAGGTAGAGACAGAGAGGTCTTCCATCCACTGGTTCACTCCTCAAATGGCTGCAATGGCCGGACCTGAGCTGATCCAAAGCCAGGAGCCAGGAGCTTCCTGCAGGTCTCCCACGTGGGTGCAGGGGCCCAAGGACTTGGGCCATCTTCTACTACTTTCCCAGGCCATAGCAGAGAGCTGGATCGGAAGAGGAGCAGCCAGGACTAGAACCAGTACCCGTATAGGATGCCGGCGCTTCAGGCCAGGGCTTTAACCCACTGTGCCACAGCGCTGGCCCTGCAGACTTAGTTTTCTCTTCCTTTCCTTTTTCTCAGACATGTGAAGAAAACAGGCCTACAGAGAGAGGCCAGCCACCAAGTGAAGGAGGCGTTTCACTTCCTCTGTGCGTTCCGCACCCCGTGAGCCAGAAGAAGAAAAGGGTCTACCGGACAGAGCAGACCACCTTCATAATCGGAGAGACGCCAAGAGGAATCCGCAGGTACGTCGTCCATGACAGGCACTAGACTCTGAGGAGAACTCTCAAAAGACGTGCAGCTCCTTAGTAAGATACACAGATGATCTGAGTTATAGCCATATTTCAGAAAAGCCTGAACTTGTACACTTTAACAAATGAATTCCAAACCTTTTACGTGTTTTTAGAAAGCTGATCCCTAAATTTATTTTTAATGAAGTCATTTTGTATAAAGAAATGAAATAATTAAGTGCATTTTATTCATCCATTCTTCAGCTATGTTTTGGGCACCTAACATGTGCCCAGGGGCGTTGTGCTGAGAGCTGAATATGGTGTAAAAACAGACAAGGCATAGAGCTTATCGTGTAGTAGCGCAGGGCCTGGCATTGAGCCATAGAATTTTAAAAAACGAACGCTTACAAATAAATAGTTAGGAAATGGTAACAGAAGAAATGGGTTGGCTGCCGTGGTAGAGAAGAATGGGATGTGTCTGTGTGGGGCAGGGTGGGGCCGTGTGACCTTCTGCAGGGCAGTGCGGGAAGACCTTTGCGCACAGGTGGCACTCAGGTCAAGACCTGAAGGGTAACCATGCAGGGCCCCAGAGGAGAGCACCTTGGAGGCAGGTGGCGGCTTGGTCTGCTCAAGGCCCTGAGAGCAGACCAGAGTTGGTGCCCAACAAGCAGGCAGAGAGTGATGCGAGGTGGAGGTGGAGACCCAGGTGGCGCAGGGCCGGGAGGCCCCAGAGACTGTGGCAAGAGTGTCAATTTTGTTCAGAGTGCAGCAGGAAGCTGTCGAAGAATGCGTGATCCAACGTGTGTTTGCTGAGATGGCACCAGCTCCGCTGTGCACAAGAGCAGCAGGAACACAGGCTGGTTTGCCCAGGAACGGCTGCCATGGGGGATAGAGCCAGTGGGTGCTATCGGCTTAGTCGTGGACCAGTTTGGGAAAGAGAAGGAACTAGACTGACTCCTAACTTTCTGTCCTGAGCAACAGAGCAGACTTACTGAATGGGGAAAACCAGTAGAAGTCTACAGATACACTGAACAGGCAGTAGCTTTGCCGCTGTGGACTGGGGGTTGGGGGTTTAAATTTGGAGTCATCAGCATAGAGTCAGAAGTGGTTTTCAGAGCCATGGGACTGTGTGAACAGGCTGGGAACAGAGCCCAGAAGGAGGGAGCAGCCCAGGACAGAGCCCAGGGCAGAAGTCCTCCGGGGTGCTCCACGGGCAGAAACGCAGTTCAGTGTCCTGACTTCCCCGAGAAGTAAGACTTACTGGAGGGAGCGAGAGCTTGCCTGTATCACAGGCTACAGAGAGCCAGAATCAGATGGCGTGGGGAAGTCTGCCCTGGCATGGGCCTTCTGAGAATCCGTGGCAGATCCTGGGGTGGGGAGAGCCAGCAGGGAGAGGGGCACTCGCAGCGGCTCTCTAAGAATGGTTGTAAGAAGGCACAAGAGATGGAGGCCATTGCAGCATCATGGGTACTTTTTTTTGTGGGGGGGGGGGTTGTTTGTTTTTTAAGTTAGGAAGATAATAGATCCTGTTTGTGTGTGGAAAGGAAAGATCACTCAGAAAAAAAATAAATCATACCAGAGAGATGATGACAGTCAAGTCCCAGAGGCAGGTGATGGCAGCATCCAGACCCCCTGGCGGAGGTCCGGCCTTTGCCATTCAGGGAAGGGACAGACATGGGCATGGATGTCGTATTTTCTCAGTGAATCAAATCCATCCGTTCGGAAGGCGAGAGATCTAAGGAGAGAAGTTATGAAGTCAATCATTCACAGAGTTGGAAACAGAGCTTGGTGGGACTGGAATTCCTGGGTGTGCCGTGAAGTCCCCATCCAAGAGTAATTCCACGCGTGCAGTTTTCATTCAGCAAGCTTCACTCTGTTGTAGACACGCAACAGGAGATGGCTGGGTTCTGCCAGGGGTTAGAATGGAAGAAGAGAGAAGCTAGCAAGCTTCAGGAAGGTCATAAAGGAGTGAATATGACATTGAACACGAGACAGAGTGGAGGCTGACAGGCAGCAAGAAAGCAAAAGAGTGGTGACTCGGAAGACTTAGGTCACAAGTGTGTCACAGCATTGTTGTCATGGGCAGGGAAATGAAATAATTAAGGGCATTTTATTCATTCTTTGGCTATGTTTTGGGCACCTAACAAGATGAGGGAGAAATGGTTTAGCTGGGTAGCATCATCCTTAAAGAGGGGGGAAATTTTAGGAGAAAACCAAGGTCTGGAAGCAGCAAAGTGAAGGGCGAACCCCGAGCCCGAGAGCCCCGCTCTGCATAGACTGCGTGGGAGGAGGCGTTGTCCTCAGGGGACTGGAGGGCCGTTCAGCTTGGGAACAGAAGACACAGGGCAGCAGGTAGGTCATTGCCTGGTGCTAGGACCACCAGGCGTGATTCGGGAGGGTGAGGGGCTGGAGCAGATGGGAGGAAAAGACAGTCGGAACACATGACCTGGGAAAGCAGGGGCAGGGCCATGGTTGGACTGGTTCTGGTGGCTCCTGGGGACAGGGAGGGAACAGTGCTGGCTCTGTGGGGTCAAAGCACTTCGTGTAGGGGTGTTGGCTACTTCCAGACTACTGGACATCAGCTTTCCCTGGGAGGGCTGACCCCCAGCCCCTCGGGGTGCTGGGTGGCAGGTGGGCTGCACAGAAGGTGAGCACCTCCCCCGGCCACCTGGGCAGTGCCATGTCCTCACAGACGGGCCCACGGCGGCCGCAGTGCAGGGTGTGCCTTTTCCTGTGCACAGTCGCCTGTCTTGAGGGAGCGCATGTGTCTTCATCCCTGCTCGCACCGTGTGCAGAAGCACCGAGGGCAGGCGGGCGGTGATCTGGGTTTGCCTCCCTCCAGCCGCGGGACTAAACGTCTCATGCTCAGTGGAGAGGTGAAGGGCGTCTGGTGTTAGAGCCCGGAGCCTGACTCAGCACAGTGCCTGAGCAGCTGACGCCCCGTTTCCCGCTCTCCCCGCTAGCCAGTCAGGCTCCAGGCCCAGGCCACGCTGCAGCCTCGTGGTCATCTGGATGAAGTGTTCAGCCTGCTGTCCCTTCAGAAAGCTTAGGCAGAATCTTCAGAAAGGTTCTGGCTGTGCTCCCCCCCCCCCCCCGCCCAGTTCCTCAAGAAAAGGGGAGAGGATGTTATGTGTTATCCCCTGATACACAAATACTATCGGGACGTTTGCCAGAAGACCCCGCCCACCTGCCCTGACCAGCATAAGGGAGTCTACTCTGGTTTACTTGTTTTCTGCACAAAGTGGCTGGCTTGTGCCCCCTGGGTTACCTTGAAGCGTCTTAGATTCTTAGAGAAACTCTTTGGAAGACCCAGAATTCTGGCAGTGAGTTGGAAGGCAAAGTAAACCGAATGATGATGTATCCCATCCTCTGGTGTAAGGGGTAAACTGTGTGGCCTCATTTACGTGCAGTCTGTTGAGGTAAAGCGGAGGAAGCAGCTGCCCTGGCACAGCCGGCCCCGCAGGGCCACAGGCAAGCTCACAGGCAAGGTCACGGCTCCAGCGCGGCAGAGGTGGAGTTACTACGGCCGCTGTGAAGCACCACCGAGCCTTGGGTAAATAAAAGACACCAGCTTGTAACCTCAGCAATCACTTAATCTTTACAAGCACAAAGAATTCATAGACAGACTGAGTATGAGAGTGAATTTGGAGATGGTGGGTAAAGTAATACCCTCTTATTACTCCCAGCTTTCCCGCAAGAGCACGGGCAGCTTCCAGGACAGAAGTGTGGATGCTTGTGTTTGTGTTACTAAATGTTGCATTGGAGACGACGTGCCTGTTGGGCAGGTGTGAACAGCATCTAGATGTGGGTCCGTCAACAGGACAGCAGCGTGATGACCAGAAGCCACGAGAGCAAGCGTGCACTGTGGCCACCCACTAGCATTAGAGGAAGCCAGGCTTTATGTCCCTTGGTCTGAGTGGCAAAACATAGACGTGGCATTGGAGCACCTCCCTACATACATTAAATACAAATCATCGGTTCACCCTGAGGGTTCTGCCTGCTGTGTGGGATGAACTTCAGACTTGGCGACCTTGGCCTGCAGACCCCTGGGATGTTCAGCCTCTTCCCGAGCAGTTTCTCCTGCCCGTCTGTGTACCTGTGCCCTCCCTCCCCTCTCTCTCTGACTCTGTCTCTGTCTCTCTCTCTCTCTCTCTGGAAGGCTTCCTCACTCTCCTTTTCCTGTCTGATTCAAGGTGACTGGGAGAAGCCTTCCCTACCCATCCTGCCCACTACCCATCGCTGGCTTAGGAGCCCCTGCAGGGAGCGCCAAGGGGACCCTGCATTTAGCTCCTTCATGGGGTTCACGACTCCATCCTGGTTTGCTTTTCTTGCACGTCTCCCCTGACTAGATTGCGAACTCTTAAAGATGAGGGTGTGAGGCTTGTTCACCATTGTATAGTTCCTGCTACTCTGCCTAGCACATAAAAATGTGGTGCTGAATGAATAAGTGAATGTTTTAAGGAACTACTATATAAAATAGAATTCTGAAACTTTGAGACTGTTCACCTCGTGCTGCAACACCATGCACGGCATATGTGTACAGATGCTGGGCCCTCCTCACACGTGGCCCCGACTCTGCACCAGCAAAGCCTACGCCCTGTCAGAGTCGGGCTGACACCGTCGGAAGCTGTTCCCACGGCTCCGGAGGTGAGGACACCCAGGTGAAGGTGTTAGCAGGTTGGGCTTCTAGTGAGGGCCCTTTTCCTGGCTTGTGGAGGCTCACCTTCTCAGTGAGTGCTCCCACAGAGAGGAAGAGGGGTGCAGAGACACACTGTGCTGGCTCTCTGAAATCTCTCTGTTGGAGGACTGATCCTCCCGGATGAAGGCCCCATCCTCATGATGTCCTTTGCCCCTAACTGCCTCCTGAAGGCCCTGTCTCCGTATGTCGGTGCATTGGAGGGCAGTACTTCAACAAGACTGGGGGCCTGGAATGGGCAGGAGACACTGTCAGTCCCCGGCACCCCAACCTGGAGCCAGGAGCGGAGCCCGTCGCTTGAGGTCTCCGCCCATTTGATCCCAGGGTTCCGGAAGGCCCATCCCCTCACACGTGCACATAACGGTGGTAATCAGTCTCTTACACCAAGAATGCGGCTCACTTCTGCGAAGCGCACCTGACTTCCTGGGTTAGCTGTCCGTGCTGAGGTCGGACCATCTGGGCAGGGGTGGGGAGGATCTGGCTTCCTCCGAGAAGGACTTTGCTGAGGCTCATCCAGAACTCCTGACATTTTCATGCTCTGTGGCTAGATGAAAGGGAAAAGGAGCGAGAAGGACAAGGTGCTTCCTTCTCCATTTTTCAGAGTTTTCCTTTTTCTATTCATTAAGACCCTTCGTTGACAATTTATGTCATGAGACCTGAATGCAGTATAGACTTTCAATCTGCATTATGTAAAGTATGATTCTCACGTCCCTCATAAATCAGCTCACTGGAGGAGTAGCATGCTGGGATCTCATAATTCATAGGAAATACCTTCCAGTATAAATCAGGGTAACTTTAAAAGCTGGTGATTTCATGAGCTAAAATATTTTTCTCAGTAGCATAAGGAGAGAGATCACATACCACTAGGATGAAACGCATTTTCATCATGGCAGCAAGCAAACGTACGCCGGAAGGAACAGGATTGCATTGCTTTGCCTCTGCACTTCCTGTCCCGTGTGATGTGTTCTTTAAAAATCAAGTGTACTGAAAGTAACCACTGGCTTTATTCATTAAATCTCCAGAAAACAATTTGAAGAAATGGCCTCTTACTTTAACCTGTCTTCCGTAAAGGAGTTTGCGAGACAGATAACGAGTGCCACATCAGAAGAGCGCCGGGAAATGCTCCAAGACTTTTATGCTTCTCAGTACCCGGAAGTGAAAGGGTTCTTCACAGCAGACGCTGCTTCAGAATCCATCAAATCCGCCAGCGTCAGGAGTAAATCCCAAGAAGGAGACTCTCGTATCAGAAGAAGGCTGTCGGGTTCTGAAGCCTTGACTTTTAAAGAGTCGACCAACAGCATTTCTCACACCTGCAGCCCAGCAGCCCACAAGGGAAAGTCAGTTCAGTTTCCCAGTCACGGTTCCTGCCAAGAAGAAGCGCTTCCTAGCAATGCAGGAACTCTTGGCTCTACCCAAGGGGTTGATGACGGGAAAAACAGCCACGCATCCAAAGGTGCCGGGGCATCCAGTTCCCTGGACGGAAACTCCAAGGGACAGGAGAGGAGGTGGGCAGACGCCGGGAAAGACCAGCAGGGCACCAGCGGGACGGGCGTTTCAAGAAGCAGGCTGCTCTGCAAGCCGGAAAGCAGGAAGCCAGAAGGCCCCGTGGCAGGGGGCGCCTCTGTGGGAGGCCTGCTGGGTGACACCTCCATTCTTGAGGACCTCTTTAAAACGCCCCGGAGCGGCCCCACACAGCTGCCAAGGAGAGCCCTTTCAGGGCCCGTGGAGAAAGCAAAGCAGCGGCCCAAGGATTTCTGGGACATCTTGAATGAGCAGAGTGCCGACAGCCTCAGTAAATTCACCGACTTGGCCGTCATCGAGACCCTGTGTGAGAAAGCCCCCTCCAGGAGCAGAGGCGAGCGAGAAACGTCTCTCTGGAAGTCCAATGAGAAGTTTTTGTGGAAGACATTCCACTCGAGTGACACAGATGAGAACACAACCAACAACACGCAGAGAGGAGCAGAGGCCTGAAAACGGACCGGTGCGCCCGTGAACTCCAGCGCCGCCACCCTGCGCGCTCCGCCTCGGACACAGCTGTCTCGACACAAGATTCCATTACATTCTCGCGTTAGAATGTTTTGAAAGCCTAAAATATTATCGTGGCTTGTCTTCCTTGATATCCTGTGGCTTGTCTTCTTTGATATCCGTATGGATCTTTTAGGAAGCAACATTGTATTTTATCATAAACCTCTGTTGAGAGATGAGAAAGATTCTAGATGTATTATCGGAAGACCTGGAACAACTTTCTTAGCGTGTCATTACGTGACCGGAGGTAAGCCACGTTCCCTGAGGTGCATCTGTTTGCTAACATGAACGATGAAGGGTTTGAACCTGATCAGTGGGAGTGTCTCTTCCAGTTTAAAAAAGCTTTGGTTCACTCTCCCAAGTTCCATTCAGTCGTAGGCCAAGTCATGCCCACCCACCCTCTAAATCAGGTGTACACAGATGTGTTTCTTTCCTATGATTCGGAAAATAATTGTGTTTCCTAGGTATCATGTTCTAGTATTATTAAATTATTTAGATTAAAGCCATAGCTAGTAATGAATGTATGGTATGATATTAAAATGGCAATTTTGTAGCAGCTCAGAATCCAGGGGTAAATGCTGTATACCTATGATATTATATGAGATGTGATACTAAAGTAATATGATTATTTATCAATAGCCACAGACACCAGTGCCTCAACTTTTTATACAACTTTGATGATTTAATTGAGATAAATAAACCTTTGCACAGTGCTTTTACATTTGATGAACTAGGAAGAAATAAAGAAACATTTGGTTTTATTTGAAATTGTTATATTTTGTTGAATTTAATCTATATGGTTTATAACCAAAGTGGGACAGTCTCATAGCTGAATTCGTTTAGTTGGACACATCCACTCAGTCCCTATGTTCCGTGCTAGATGGGATACAGCTACAGGTGAAGGACAGGGCATCCTGTCTGTAAAGAACCGCCTCTGTCGGGCTCCTGGCGTGGCGCCTGGCACGGGGTGGGCAGAGACCCGAGGCCTCACTGGTGTGTTCTCCCACCTTCCCCTCAGCCAGGCTCACAGCGCTCTGCGGAAGAAGTGTGCTTCAGGAAGTGGCTGTGTGCAGCGGTCATTGTTGCTGACCGCAGAGGGCCTCTGAGTACCCAGCTAGTACAGTCATTGCTCAGAGGTTAAAAAAAAACCCTTTCTCCAGAGACCCAATGGCCAAGTATATTTTTCTTTGGAACAACAATGTTTTGCCTTAGAGAACTATGAAATATATTTTGTATCGTCACCCATTACGTATAGACTCCTGCATGTTGAAATAAAATGTTTATAAAGTAATGTTTACCCTTAAAGCATGCAACTTTGTTATTTTTCTCTCCTAGGCTGGGGTGTGTGTGTGTGTGTGTGTGTGTTGATGCTATCATAACCCAATAGATTGATTTCCTGGCCCACTAATGCTGGGAACCATGACTTGGAAACCATTGCTTAAGGTTATATAGCTGGTCATTTGTTTGCCACTTGCAGCTGAGTTGTGTCCAGACTTCTCAGACTTCGTCCATTGAGGGTCTTCCTGTAAAATAAACACATAATGCGTCGGTCTGCAGTAGACCTGGCAGGCAGATGTCGTTAGCCTTCCGTGTGCTCAGTCGTCTGCAGCTCTGAGAAGCAGATACCACTCATCTCAGTTATACACGGGACAGGAGCATTCAGGCATTTAATAAAACACATCTCTCATAAGATAGCTTTACAATCTTTTACATGGACATGACCTTAGAATCAAAATGATATTTGTACAAATATTAGCTCTGCACACATCGGCATAACATAAAGAAATACTATCAAAGTGACTTTTATCAGTGGTAGTCCAAATGGGAGAAGAAACCTAGACCTGAGCTTAAAAATTAGTCTCTAACACAGTCATCATTATTATCACTTAGCAACAGGCAGGGTGCAAAGTTCAGTGTCAAGAGGAGCCAGTCAGTGTTTCAAGGGAAGCCGTCAGAGTTGACTCTTCGGTGCACCAAGATTTGGTTCCAGCATTAACGACTCTGGGAACAGACGCCATGAAAGGACTGCAGCAGGAGCCTCTCCTACCCTCACTCCCCTGGTGAGGTTCTGCCAACTGCACCGGTGTGATGAGGCCAATCCCTCAGTTTCTTTCCGCCCTTAAAATTTTTTATTTATTTATTATATTTATTTGAAAGACAGAGTTATAGAGAGGCAGAGAGAGATCTTCCATCCGCTGGTTCATTCCCCAGATGGCTGCAACGGCCAGAGCTGCGTGATCTGAAGCCAGGAGCCAGGAGCTTCTTCCGGGTCTCCCATGCAGGTGCAGGGGCCCAAGTTCCACTGCTTTCCCAGACCATATCAGAGAGCTGGATTGGAAGTAGAGCAGCCGGGTCTTAAACCAGTGCCCATATGGGATGCTGGCGCTTCAGGCCAGGAGTTTAACCTGCTGCCCCACAGCGCCAGCCCCCAGGCCTTTCAGTTATACACAGACTGGGTCAAGGGTATTCAGGCAGTTTTAAAAGCAGCTGAATTATACTTTAGAAGCTCCGTTATTGAAACAATTAAGTTGGAGATCTGACAGTTGCAGCAGCACTGCCGTGACTCCAAGGAGCACCAGTATGAAAACAACTGTGGTGAGAGCATTGCTTTAAAAAAATAAAATGAAAAACTTCAAATTTCCATGATTCACAATCATGCCACAACCTATCCTTTTTACTTCTTTTGAAAGCAGTGATACTTTCTGGCTGCTAGCACTCACCGTGCAACCATGAACGTTGGAAAGTGAGGTGAGATACACAGCCGGTTGCAGTAGAATTACCCAGGGTTTGCTGAAAGCCCTGAGACACCCCCACCCCTTACAGGAAATGCACAGCATGGGCCCCCACAGATTGAAGGCAAAGGCGCGCTTGTTGGCAGAGATGAGCTGGTGAGAAAGCCCCAGGGAATGGTGGCTTTTTCAATTTCAGTTCAATGCATGCAGCTTTTAAATTGCAAAGCTATCTTTCCTTTATGATGTTAAAATAGCCATTTTTATAAAATGAAAATAGATCTTAGATGTAGTCTGCTTCATTACCTTTACTTGATACAGAAGTTGCTAGTCATATGTCAGTCCCAAAGTTTTATCTCACGTGTACTGGTTTAGGAAATCCAAAAGAATGAGGACCACTGCCTGCCTGTAGGTCATTTTTTACAGGGAGGGAACTAGAGGTCCATAGCTCCGTGTTCCAAGTCCAGTTAGAGTGGATCTAGAACTCACCATGGCTGTCGCTGAAGCTGGTCACTTCTCACTTAGTCACCATGGGTGTGACTGCTCCAGTCCCATCTCCTACCTGCTTCTTCAAAACATCCGCCACCCAGTGTTTCTGGGAGCCCCTCCAGGGATGCTCCTAAGCCGCTCTCCCCCGGGGGGTGGGGGGTGGGGGGCAGCCCTGTGCACTGGAGCACACGATGTCTGCGGCAGGTGGGCAGAGCCACCACAGGAGGACGGGCTGGGCTCTGAGGGCCTTGCAGGGGGTCAGCATGGAAACAGTCCTTCCCGTGTGTACTCCTGCCCCTAGGAGGAAAGACACAGATGGCTCTTCCTGCCGACCTCCAAGGCTGTGGGTTTCCAGTCCCCAGGAAGGCAACTCAGAACCACCTGCAGGGGCTTGTCAGCACCCAGGAGACTCTGGGTCAGGGACTTTATCTGATACACTGGCTTTGTCTGGGGTTTGGCTTTGACACCAGTGCCACACTGCTTGACCCTCTGCCCCTCCAGGACTGCGTCCACAGTGGCTCTTCCGTCAGTCCCACCCTCACCCCACTCCCACCCCCGTGTGACACCAGCGGACGTGCAGCTGAGCCCGCGATGGGGCCTGTGTGTGTGTGCGTGTGTGTGTGTGTGTGTGTGTGTCAGGCCCCAAAGTTGTTAGGATCTATAAAGATATCCACACATATTTGCATGCCCACGTCCATAGCACAATAGCTAGACCTGGAAGCAACACAAACCTCCATCAGCAATGACTGGATAAGCAAAACAGGGTAGAGGTATGCACGCACCGCATGGAATATTATACAGCCTTGAAAAGGAAGACAACTCTGACGCTTGTGAACCTTGAGCTCACGCAAGGTTAAGCAAATACCTAGAAACAAAGTGAAATGGTGGTTGCCGGGGCTAGAAAGAAGAATGGGGACCTGATGTTTAGTGGGTATGGTTTCAGTTCTTCAAAATTAAAAGAATTCTGGAGATGGATTGTGGTGACAGCAGCATAACTATATGAGTGTATTTAGTGTCACTGAAATGTATACTTAGAAATGGCTGAGGTGGCAACTTTTGTTAAATGAATTTTAACATTTTGGGGAAGAGAACCCACAAACAGCACTCTTTTTCTGATTATGCTTTGTCGACGCGTCCTTTATTCACTTTGTTGTGAGTTAACAAATTGTGCTGGTTATATTCCCTGATTTCCAAATTAAAGACCAATCGTAATGTGAATTTGGTATCTTTCTGTCATTAACACTGGCCATACCCAATTGGCATTCTTGGCTTTTTACTGCTCTCTTATAGTAAAAAGCAAAAATGCCTCTTTTAAAAAATTATTTATTTATTTATTAATAAGTCAGAATTACAGAAAAACAGGCAGAGGAAGAGAGATCTTCTATCACTCCCTAAATAGTCCAGCTGCCACTGCTGGGCCAGGCTAAAGCCAGGAGCTTCTTCCTGGTCTCTCATATGAGTGCAGGGGCCCAAGCACTTGGACCATCCTCAGCTGCTTTCCCGGGCGCATCAGCAGGAAGCTGGCTCAGAAGTGGAGCAGCTGGGTTGTAACCAGGGGCCAGCACTGCAGGTGGCTCCCCCACACACACACCAATGCCACAGGGCCCAGCCTCCAAGAATACCTCTTTCTATAGATGTCATTTTGTTAGCGGGTTGAGCAAGTCCCAAAGAGCTTAGCCTGCGGGGAGGGCGTGGGAGCCGGCTGTGAAAACCCAGAAGAAACGTGCCTGGGGCTGGGAGGTGACCAGAGAGGCCTTGGTGCCTTCCTTGACCTTTAAAACCCAGAATAAGGAGAAATGAGGGCCTTTGAATAAAGCGGTTCCTGTCGTGGACTGGCCACAGAAGAGAGAGGGGCGTGCAGTGGCGGAGGAAAGAGCGCCGGAGTGACGACCCCGGGGCCATCAGCTAGAAGGCTGCTCCCCAGCCCCGCGCCCAAACCCGCCCGCAAGCAGACGCCACCCTAGAGCTGCAGGGTGCCAGGGGAGTGGGTAATTACGCCCCGGCCCGGCGGGGTCCCCGTGGGCGGCGCGGGAGGCCAGGGAAAGCTCTGGGGCTCGCGATGGTGCCGTAGTGGGCAGAACGCGGGCCTGCGAGGGGCACAGCGGGGCGGCCTCCCGCACGCGCCCGCCCAGGGAGCGGCGCACCAGGATGCCGCTGGGACCTAGGACAACTCGAGCCCGCCCCCCCCCCCCCCCCCCGCCTGCACGCTGACGGCGGCGGCTTCTGCGGTCTGGACGGCGGCCCGCGGGAACTCCAGCCCCAACCTGATCCCCTGCGAGCGCGGCTCCCACCGAGGTCGCGGGAAGCCGGAGGAAGGAAGCTGGGCAGCTCCGAGCCCGTGGCTTTGCCAAATGCGGCGTCCGCCAGGGCCCCCGGGGGCTGCGCCGGGCCCGCCAGGCAACCGCGAAGCTGGCCGGGCCCCGAGGAAGTCGGGCTTAGCACCTCTCCGCCTCCACCAGCCCCGGGGCCAGCTGCGCTGGGCGCGGACCCCCCACGTACGCGACCACTCCCCCGCCGCCGGAGCCCCAGCCCCGCGCACGCTGCCTTCCCGCCCCTGCACCGTCGAGGCCGGCGCGCTGGGCCAAGGGCCCGCTCCCAACCTGCTCTCAAGCCCCAGGGAGCGTTTCTCCGCTGTGTTCCCCGCACCAGGCCTCCATCTGGACGCCTGCAGACATCTCCCCGGGCAGCCTTCCTCTCTAATCCATTTTCCACAGCGCTTTCCCAAGAGCTTGGGAAAGCACGCGGGGACCTGGCCTATTGCAAGCGTTATTTTCTCTGGCAGGCGGGCTGAGGGGGGAAAGAAATGGCAGCGACACCGGCCCCCATGCCTAAGCCATTCAGTCCTAACAGTGGCCACCGCACCGGCTGCGCCCTGTGGCAGGCAGCCCATGTCTGCAGACAGCAATACTAAGCCTGTGAGTGCCGGCTTCAGGTGCAGGGTGATCTGGGAGACCTCAACGGTGCTGTTCTCATCCACGTTTGTGAGTCAAGTTTCTTGGCTGGGCAGGCTCAGAACATTTCCATAGTGTTCTCCTCGCCCCAGCTGTCTCCACTTTCTTGGATTGGCGGTGGGGCATGGGAGTGCAG